AGATCACGTGCCCATTTAAAGTGTTCGGTTCAATGGTTTTTACTGCGTTCACAGCTGGGTAACCAACTATCGGCATAAACAATTTTAGAACATTTCCATCACCTCAGAAAGGTGATGTACCCTAGCAATTACTCAGACACATCAGGTAGAGATGAAAAAATACAGAGAGAAAGAGATGGGGTCTTGCTCTGTCACCCAGGCTGGAGGACAGTAGCTCACTGCAACCTCAAACCCCCCAGGCTCAGGCAATCCTTCCACCTCAGCCTCCCAAAGTGCTGGGATTGCAGGCATGAGCCACTACACCCTGCTGAAAACATGTTTAAGCTTTGAGAAAAGAGATGGGTTGGACAGGGCTGTGTGAGGAACGCTGAGGAGGATTCCACTGTGCGGTGGCTTTACTATATGGCCACAGGTCCCTTCCCTTCTGTTCTCCGATTCCTGGTTTTCTCCTCCTAATACAAATAGGTGTTTATTTATTTATTTATTTATTTAGAGACAGAGTCTTGCTCTGTCACCCATGCTGGAGTGTGGTGGCGTGATCTCAACTCACTGCAACCTCTGCCTCCCAGGTTCAAGTGATTCTCCTGCCTCAGCCTTCCCAGTAGCTGGGATTATAGGCACATGCCGCCACGTCCAGCTAATTTTTGTATTTTTAATAGAGATGGGGTTTTACCATGTTGGCCAAGGTGGTCTTGAACGCCTGACCTCAGGTGATCTGCCCACCTTGGCCTCCCAAAGTGCTGGGATTACAGGTGTGAGCCACCATGCCTGGCTAAATAGGTATTTATTGAGTACCTGCTGTGTGCCAGGCTCCAGGCCGGGCGTGTCACAGATCATCTGAAACCAAAAGCAGACACGTGACTTCTTCAGGTCCCTACGCTGGCTGGTGACAGAAAGGGGCGTGGAATAGGGGATGGGGGGTAGGCAGAGGTTCTGACTCCCAGCTGAAGGCCACTGCACCAGCTGCTTCCACGTTTTACTTCCTAAGCTGCCCCAGTGACAGTGGGGAAATTAGGGGTGGGTGGGAGGGGCTTCTTTTTTCTCCCAGGCTGAGGAGGGCCCTGCCACAGGTTGACACTAAACAGTTGTTTCACCCTCCGGTGGCCACAAGCAGCAGTGCAGGTGTCAGGCCTTGGGGCCCAGGAGGCAGAGTCCCTTCCCACTGTCCCCAGCACCAGCACCCTCACACACACGCAAGGTGTCTGTCTGGGTGTGACTAGGTCTGTTGGACCATTCCAAAGCACTCACTTTCAAGCGTAACCTGGGTGCTGGAGGCAGGTGGGCGGACAAGTTCCTGACATTTGCGGAGATCAGGGGATTCCTGAGGCAGTTTAAGCGGAGGTCAGGGAAAGTATCCCAGATACCTGAAGGATAAGTGGAAATGAACCAGAAAAGACCAGGGGGCGGGTCTGCCTATTCCTAAGCGGAGGGAGTGGCTCACGCAGAGGCCTGGGGATTTCACTCTGGCTAGAAGGTAAGGGGAAGAGGCACGGTGAAGGAGGAGCCGTGGCTGGGGTGGATGGGCTGAGCCATAGGAGGAAGGGTGAACTTTCTCCTGGAGGCACTAGGGAGCCACAGAAGGATTTTGAGCAGGGGAGAGACAGAATCAAATAGAAATGTTATGGGTTTTCTTTTTTCCTTCTTATTTTTTTTAATATAAGCTGAATAGATGGGAAATTTTAGAGAGATCAGCCTGACTGCTGACTGCTGTGTAGGAGGGGTTGGAGCAGGCCAAAGAGGAGGCTGTGCCAGTGAGGGTTCTGGGACCATCCTGGATACTCGAGGCCCAGGGTTTATAGGGGCATGAGGGAGGGGAAGGGATCCTACTTTGTCTACAAAGCAGGAGCAGGCCCCCTCGGAGAAAAATGACAGTGATCCCGACACCCCAAATCTCTTCTCATAGCCATGCTTGATGCTTGAGAGAGAAAGAGGCGATTCTCAACATTCTGTGGAAGAAGAAACAGAATGAAGAGACCTGCCTGGGTCACATAAAAGCTGGTCAATGGCCAAGCCTCAATTCTGGGGGGATTAGGGTGACCCCAAAGTGAAAACATCCCAGCGGCTGGCTCTTCCTTCCAAAATACCTGGCCCTGGGCTATGGGGGGGTTAGCTGAGGAGCCGGGGTGAGGACCCAATGTCCTCAGGCCACCTTCCCATTTCCCTTGGGTCCTGGCAGACCTCAGGCTCCCCACCCCCTGTACCCAGACAATGAGCCTAAGGTCTGCAGCGGGTATCATCCAACCACAGCCTGCAGGCTTTGTCCTTGGAGACAAGCAGCCTGTCACAGCTGCCTGCTATAAAGCGGATGGATGGGCCTTGGCTACCAGCCGGACGATGCCCATGCTCTGCAGAGGGGAGATTAGGCCAGCCATGGCCCAAACCAGTCCCAACTGCTCAGGCCTCAAATCGGGATCCACTGATGCCCTGCCCCTCCATGGTACCTGGCCATCTTCAGGAGTGATTCCTGAAAATGTGATCCCCTAGAGGGAAGGGAGTTGGGCTGGGGGAGCCAAGGCAGGGACATTGCCAAAGGTGGGAAGGTCGTTGCTTAAGATACAGAGAGAGATTTGGGGTGGGACAGGAAGGGCATGGTGAGGAGGGCCAGAGGTACACAAAGGAGACTGGCAGCACTGGGGTTCGGAGGCTGCCCTGTAGCCCGCCCCTTCCTCGCTTTGTGACCTTGGGCCAGTCCCCTGGTGATCTTGGACTCAGTTTGCACATACGTAAAATGGGCTCCCAAGAATCCCTGCCTTGAGTTAAGTGGTGCAAGCATAGGAAGGCCCAGCCAGGACCAAGTGGAGCGAGGCTTCATCTTCAGCCTCTCCTTCCGCCCTTCTCACTGGCTCTGGAAACTGGGACTGGGTGGGAAGTGGGTGGGTCGCAAACAGAAGAGAACCAAGTCCTGCCCACGTTTTCCTGGCCCAGGAACCTGGGAAATGCTCTGAGCTCTGCCTCAGGCAGAGGCCTCTTGTCTCCTAATTTTTAACTTGAAAATTATCAAACCTGGAGAAAAACTGAAAGAATAGCAACGGAACGCCAATATATCTTCCACTTTGATTACCCTTTGTGGGAAGTAAAAAGTTCCTCTTCAGAGTTTCCTTTCTTGTTAAAGAATAAATCATAAGTGTGCTAATAACTCTTTGTTAAGTCCTATCCAATGTGGCTATTAGACATGCTTATAGTCACGTAGTATATTCTATGTCCTTATACTTTAACCAAGATATCTATCTGTGCTGGGCGTGCTCACAGGCATGTCCCAGCTTGCAGCCTATCCCCTTACCTGTTTAGAAAAGTTTTAAGTTATTAGCCAATCAGGTTTTAGTTTAGATTGTGAGGTCTGGCTCCAACCAACGGAGATCAGACACAGCAGTAAGGATAACCCCAAATGCATCAGAGATAACATGTCTGCTTTTCCTTTGTTCATTGTACTCTCGTGGCAAGATGGCTAGCAAGGGTACCCCTCCTGCAGTGCAGGAAGTGAAAAAGTAAAAATTGCTTTGCTGAGAGATCCTTTGTCTCAGTGCTGATTTTTCTTGGCGGCACCCAAGCATCTGTTTCCAACACCCTCCTTCTTAAGATAAACCATCAGAAGAGCAAGACCCTGTCTCAATATATATATTAGATATATATAAAATATATTATATATATATCAGATATAAAATATGTAAAACAAAATAAAAATTGTTGCCAGCAAGCTTTTTTTGGAGGGAGGTCAGAGTCTCGCTCTGTCACCCAGGCTGGAATGCAGTGGCATGATCAACACTCACTGCATCCTCAACCTTCCAGGTGCAAGTGATCCTCACACTACAGCCTCCCAAGTAACTGGGACTCCAGGTGTGCACCATCACACCCAGCTAATTTTTAAATTTTTTTTAGAGACAGGGTCTCCCTGTGTTGCCCAGGTTGGTCTCAAACTCTTGGCCTCAAACTATCCTCCTGTCTGAGCCTCCCAAAGTGCTATGACTACAGGCATGAGACATTGCACCCAGCCTGGCAAGCCACCTTTTAAATACGTTTTTGACAAGAATGCAAATGGACTGTGTGCCAGGCACCATGTACTAGCTATGGGCTTGGTACATGTTAAGTCAAAGTAACTTAAATCTCACAGCAACTCCATGAGTTATGCACTATTTATCATCCACACATCACAGATGGGGAAACTGGCTTTGAGAAGAAATCAGGTGCCATGCCTTAGGTCAGAGTCATCATGAACTTAGATGAACCTGGATGGATCTATCTGCCCGCAAAGCCTGGCCCTGAGGTCATTCAGTCTAACCTCCCTCCTAACCAGGAATCTCTGCTACTGAGGCCAGGGAGGTATGGCCCCAAGTCCCTACTCCATACGTCCATGGGGGATCTTTGCCTCTGCATCCCCCACCCCCTCAGCTTCCCTCTGCAGCCCTTGTCCTGGCTCTACCCCTATTCCCTTCCCCAGACAGGCTCTCCCTGCCCTCCCTGCAGTACCTTTAGAATGGCCTGGATGAAGACCCAGAGAGCCAGGTTCAAGGCCCAGTTCAGCCACTGGCCTACCCAGCGTTGAGAGCTCTCAGTTCTTCTCTGGAAAATGGGTACGCCCTTCCCCAGCCCTTTCTGGCAGCAGGTGGAAGGTACAGGAGAAGCATCCTGCAGGGAGCCGGCTCAGGGCAGGTTAGGCCAGGCACTAAGTGCTGCCCCCTCCCCGACCATCTTCCACTGGTTCGCTTTGGATCTAAGTCTCACGAGTGGCCCCTTCTAATCGGGTGAATCGAACCCGTGTGTTTGGGGGAGAAGTGACAACAGGCCCGGGGCGAGTGCCTGAAGCTCTCCTCCCACCCACCGGGAGACAGGTCTCTGTCCGGTGGAGCCAGGTCGGCGGCCCAAGAGAACGGGGTGGGGAGTTGAAAGGGGCGTGGCCAGGGGAGGGGTCACCTGTGGCCGAGGGGCGGGGTCTCCTAGCACCGCCCCGGGCACCACCCAGGGCCCGCCTCCGCCTCCCCGACTTCAGTCCCTGCAGACGCCTCGCAGACGGTGAACAGCCACAGGCGCCAGGCCAGGCGAAGCAGCTGAGCAACTGGAGCTGGGAACAGGGGAGGGACCAGCGGGTGAAGGGGAGGCCCCTGACTCAGGCCCTGGCGCCTCGCGGAAGAGGGACGCACAGTGGCGGACAAACTTCGCATCTCTCTCTCGGACCTCAACGAGTTGGTGAGCAAGAAAAGTGGGTGCCAAGGGGCTTGAAGGCGCGAATGCAGGCAGAGGTGAACGAGGGAGTGCTTCTCAGAGTCCAAAATGCGGGAGCCACCGCGTCCTCCGGTGAGGGGAGGACTTTGGTGCTGTCTGGAAGAGGGAAAAGTGGTCAATGATCACTGGTGATGGCTCAGGCGCCATCACCAGGTGGCAGGAGGCCGGGTGGCAGGACACCGTTTCTGAGGCACATTTGTGTAATGCCAGGGCTGGAGCAGAGACCCATGAGGCTCTTCCCTGCCTGCAGAGTCCCCCAGGTTGCCGGGAGTGACCCCCAAATCACCCAGGGTTAGCGTATCCCCGCTGAACACAGTGCCTGGCTGTGGCACACCCACCAGCAGTGCTGGATGGCTGAAGGGACAGCAAGCTGAACCTGGAGGAGGTGCCACTGAGAGACGGGGAGGCCAGTCCAGGCAGGAGGGATGGCATGATCACAGGTCCGGAGAAGGGAGACTCAGAAATGGACGCATCTTGGGGAGCAGGGGAAAGGTGGCTGCACTGAGGAGCAGTGGACAGCTGAGGCCAGGGAACTCAGCAGAGGCCTGACCAAGCAGAGCTCTGAATGCCGAGCAGAGAACCCCAAAGAACACAGAGAAGCCCACCTAGCCCTGAGCTTCCCCCATCCCCCGCAGGGACCCTGAGCTCTGTTTTGCCCCTCTCCGGCCAGCGCCTGCTGCTGCCTCCCCCTCTCCCAGCTCTCCAGGGAGACAGTGTTTCCCTGCTTCAGTCCTGAAGGGGCTCCTGGAGACCATCTTTTGTGCAAGTAAATGTCATCCCCAGTGCGTGGCCACCCCATCCTGGGCTCCCAGCCCACTGGTTGGCTCCCAACTCAGTGGGGTCTGGGAGCCAAATAAAGGGCAAAGGGACCCTGCAGAAGTCCAAGGGGGAAGCGAGGCAGGACTCCGAGCTGCTTTCCTCTCGCTTTGTTTTTTTCCTTAGTCCATGCTGGCCCGCCTGTGACCCCTGCTGTCTGTCACCTGCTCTGCTGGATCCAAGATGGCCCTGTGGTGCTACTGTCTTTTCTGCCTTTTGGTACCTACACCTCTGGGAGGGCAGTGCCAGGGAGGAGGTCAAGGGGACTCACAGCTTGGAAGGTTCCAAGTGGCCATCCCACCTCATGAGGTCACCACAAAGGTCACGCAAGATGAGCCCCAGCACAGATGGAATAAAAGCCCTCACTAAGGGCAACCATGCTTACTCATCAGCCTCTTTACTCCTCTCCCAGGGAAAAGGCTCAGGGCTGCGAAGGGACCTCCCAAGATCACACTCGGGGTGGTGGGATTTAAATCCAGGTCTGACTGCAGAGCCTGCAGCTTCCACTGAATCCCACCCCCAGCCACCCCCAGAGTAGGCATTCAATAACTGCAAGTGTGGGGGAGGGCAGCCCCAGCCTCTGCCTGTCTTCTTCTCTCCCAGATCAGGAGTCTCTCTGGGACCCCCTCCAATTCCCCAGGTGAATCAAGGAGCCCTTGGGCCCCAGGTTGGTATGAGGGATCCCCCAGGGAGGGTTCCCATCCCCCAGCTAAGCAAGTCTGTGGTCCAGGGGGTGCACCAGCCTAGGATGCAAAAGAAGGGACAAAAGACATTTGGTTCCACACCCACCAGACCAGGCCCTGCAAGGAAAGCTTCACTGGTTTCCACCTCACTCCCGCCATAGTGCAGACGATGAAACAAGCTCTGCAAGAGGACAGGACTCAGGCGGCCAGACATGGCCAGAGTTCACCCCATCCAGGCCTGAATGACTCCAAGCCGTGTCCTTAGCTCCGCCCAGCTCTGGAAGGGTCAGTTGCCCACAAAATGCATCCCACGCTGTCTCTCCTATCATTTTCAGCCCCCGTGGCCCCCGGCGAGGTGGTGGAGACTGCAGGTGGGGTGTGCAAGTTCTCTGCACAGCGGCTCAGCTGGTGGCAGGCCCAAGAGTCCTGCGAGCAGCAGTTTGGCCACCTGGCACTGCAGCCCCCTGACGGGGCTCTTGTTTCACGGCTACGCGACCCGGTCTGGATGGGCCAAAGAGAGGCCCCTCTGCGGAGACCCCCGCAGAGGCGTGAGTGTGGGCCCCTGGGAAATGGGAGCAAGGGGCAGAGGCTCTGGTGACCTTCAGAGATGACAGCCCACAGTGACCACACTTGCAGAATGAGCCGGGAATAAGACCCTATTACATCTCCAGCTTCCCTTGCCCTGGACTGGACATCCCGGCCTGACTCCTGGGCAGCAGAATGCTAGCCCCCATTTCCTCCTTCCTGAGTCTGGGAGGGACCCCAAAGCCTGGAAGGGTCCCGCCCTTGCAGGGGCAGGAGCAGGACCGTGTACACAGGTGAGGAAACTGAGGTCACGGCCCACGTGTCCCCGCAGGTATGCACACCACCGCCGCGCTGGTGTTTGGCCAGAGGACGGCTGACCGGGCGGCGCGGCTGCGGAGCCCCCTGCCCGAGTTGGCGGCGCTGACCGCGTGTGCTCACCTGCAGTGGGACTGTGACTCGCCTGACGCCGCAGCTCTCTTCTCCGTCGCCGCACCAGCGCTGCCCAACGCGCTGCAGCTGCGCGCCTTCGCCGAGCCGGGGGGCGTGGTGCGCGCTGCGCTGGTGGTGCGTGGGCACCACGGGCCCTTCCTCGCCGCCTTCCGCGCCGACCGCCGCTGGCACCATGTGTGCGCCACGTGGGAGCAGCAGGGCGGGCGCTGGGCGCTGTTCTCCGACGGGAGGCGGCGCGCTGGGGCGCGGGGGCTGGGCGCGGACCACCCGGTGCCGTCTGGCGGCATCCTGGTGCTGGGCCAGGATCAGGACTCTCTGGGCGGCGGCTTCTCGGCGCGTGACGCCTTCAGCGGCAACCTCACTGACTTCCATCTGTGGGCTCGGGTGCTGAGCCCCGCGCAACTGCAGCGGGCACGGGCCTGCGCGCCGCCCCACGAGGACCTGCTCTTCCGCTGGGACCCGGGCGCTCTGGACGTCGCGCCCTCGCTGCTGCCCACGGTGTGGGTACGCCTTCTCTGTCCCGGTACGGGCCGCCCCGCCTCTGCCCCACCCCATGGCTGTGAATCCTTCCCTTCAGTCCCTGGGACTCGACCCACCCCTTGCCAACCAAGCCACACCCAGCTCTGGCCACGCCCTCTCCGGGCCAGCTGGCTTGCGAATTCAGCATCAGCTTGATCCCAGCTGCCTGGGGCTCTACGCTCGTCCCCTGGCCGCCTTACCCCAGCCCCGTGCCGGCCACAGTGTCCCTCTCTCAGGTCTCACATTGTCCCCTAACCCCGGGGCAGTGCATCCTGGCTCGCCAGGGTGCGCAGGACTCCTAGAGAACGCTGACACCTCCCCCGGCCCTGCCAGTGCCCTCCGAGGAGTGCCCCACATGGAACCCAGGACCTCGCACCGAGGGCTCGGAGCTCTGCCTGGAGCCGCAGCCCTTCCTCTGCTGCTACCGGACAGGTGTGCCCTGGCTGTGGCCCTGGCCTCTGCTGAAGGGGAAGCGGGTGTGGAACGGGGTAGATTGAGAAGAGGGTGAGCTGTTGACAAAGTCTGGGAATTCAGAGTCTTCTCAAAGCTTTCAAGGTCTCCATGGAGCCTAGCCTACAGAGCAGTGGGTCCAGACAGATCTGAGGGTGAATCCCAATTGTGTGACCTTGGGCAAGCTCTTTGGCCATTCTGTGCCTCAGTTTCCCCATCTAGAACACTGTATGTAAGGCTCTGGACACACAGCCATCAAGGTGCTCTTCTTCCCCTGGGCAGCACGTGGTGGGTGGAGGCCCCCGAGCAGGCTGGCCACCTGTGGGCAGGGGCGTTGCCTGGGGTCCAGCCTGGCATCCCCTCCTCTGCAGAGACCTATCGGCGGCTGCAGGATGCCCAGTCGTGGCCTGGCCAGGATGTTATCAGCCGAGTCAATGCCTTGGCCAATGACATTGTGGTGAGCTCCCTTACAGGGGCTGGAGAGCCTGGGGGCTCCGTGGGTCACGTCTCTGTACCTCAGTTTCCTCCCCTGTAAAGGGGACACACGCCTGATGTGTCTGCAGGAACTGAGGCCATTCAGGCTCCCTATTTTATAGCCCCTGAGAGTTGGAGGCTTGTGATAAGTTTGATGGGTGCCCACCAAGAAGACCCTGGCAAAGCCCAAGTGTGGCCCCTGCAGGGATCCCCTCATGACAACCAGACCCAGATTCAGTGGCTCCTCTGCCCACAGCTCTTTCCAGATCCCCTCTCTGAAGCCCGTGGGGCCCTGTCCCCGGCAGAGGCCTCCAGCTTCCTGGGCCTTCTGGAGCATGTCCTGGCGATGGAGGTGTCTTCTCTGGGGCCAGCCGCACTGCTGGCTGTTGTGTGCTTCCTGAAGAGGGTGGCGGCCATCGGGGCTGGGGAGCCAGAGCTGTTGCTGACAGGGCCGTGGGAGCAGCTGGGCCAGGGCGTTGTATCCGTGGCCAGCCTGGTCCTGGAGGAGCAGGTGGCTGACGCATGGCTGTCCATCCGTGAGGTGAGGCTGGCAGGGCTGGGTGGGGCAGGGGCCTGAGCTGTAGTTCCACCCTAGCCACCAGCTGGGTGTGTAGCTGTAGGGGAGTCAGCACCTAGCTCCAGGCTCCATCTCTCTGCACCCATCGGGAGAAGCTTCTCTTTTGTCTATTTGATAAGTTGAACTTCCACAAGCAATTGTACTTGAGGCCGGGCGCGGTGGCTCCTGCCTGTAATCCCAGCACTTTGGGAAGCCAAGGCAGGTGGATCACTTGAAGTCAGGAGTTCAAGACCAGCCTGGCCAACATGGTGAAACCCTGTCTTTACTAAAAATACAAAAATTAGCCAGGTGTGGTAGCAGGTGCCTTAATCCCAGCTACTCGGGAGGCTGAAGCAGGAGAATCGCTTAAACCTATGAGGCAGAGGTTGCAGTGAGCCAAGATTGCACCACTGTGCTCTAGCCTGGGTGACAGAATGAGACTGTCTCAAAAAACAAAACAAAACAAAAACGAAAACAAAAAACAATTGCACTTGAACAAAAGCTTCTGCAGTTAAATGAAGTGGTGAAGAGCTGCCAGTTAGTAAGGGCCTCCCTCATCTCCAAGAATCTACTGACACCTTAAGTGGGGGAGCTATGCCGAGTGGACGGTCCGCCTTGTCTGCCTAAACAGCCCAGACACTCTGGACAACATTAGAGGTGCTATCCAGATGCAGAGGCTGTTGGAAACTTCATTCTGGCAGAAGTGGCTGTCGGCCTGGGAGTGATCAGCCCAGAGCAGGGAGGGAACAAGAATCATGGACAGTGCCTGCAAATTCTCTGGGGCTGAAGGAGCAAACATGGTCCCCCGTGAGCCTCAGGGGACAGAACTGGGACTAAGACATGGGGGTAGGGGAAACACGGCATAACACAGGAGGCTGGTTCTATGGAATGGTGCACCATGGGTAATGAGCTCCCCAACCTGGGAAGTGTGCAAGCCCACAGTTGATTAGGGATCCAAGGCACTGCAGTAGACTGGGGAAAGCTAGGCTGAAGTTCAGTTTTCTCCCCTGGGGAATGGGGATGATCACACCGCCCTTGCTAAGGCAATGGAGAGGCATTAAGGGATGAACAGTGTGACTTGCCCAGCACAGAGTAGGAGCCCCATAAATGCATGTTCCTCCCCTCCCTCCCTGCTCCCACTACCCACACCCCCATGGCTTTCCTTCTGGAATGTCAGTGTTGCGCACCCATTATAGGTCTAGCACTGAGCCTCAGTGAAGGTGGAGGCATGGCGCAGCCTTCAGAGTGTGCTGTAGTTGGCAAACAGGCCAGCAGGCACAGAGCGCTCGAAGGTTTGACTGGAGGACGGCGTGGTTGGGAGACAGAATTGGACCAGTCGAAAGAGGCTGGGGCAGGCAGGGCATCAAATGTCAACCTGAGGACCCAGGACTTGATCCTGGAGGCCCTAAAGAGCCACGGAGGGTCTGGAGAGGGCGGGACCACCTCCCAGATCATGGAGCATTTTCCCCAACGCTCAGGGCAGGTGGCAGTGGGGTGCAGAGTGTGACAGGGAGCTGAGATGTCGCGTCCTCACAGGTGGTTGGCGGGCCTATGGCCCTGGTGGCGAGTGTGCAGCAGCTGGCACCGCTGCTGAGCACCACGATGACCTCAGAGCGGCCCCGAGTGCGCATCCAGCACCGCCATGCTGGTAAGCCTGCACCCACCAGCCCACACGGCTGGACCCCGCCCTCTTTCCTCAGCCCTGGTGACTGGGAGCTGTCTGTGCCTTCACAGACACTGCATTCTGTTTACTGCCTTTGCCCATGCTGTGCCCTGCATCCAGAATGCCCTCTCTCCCTTGATCTCCTATACCTCCTTCAGAACCCTGGGTGGGCATCACTCACTCTAGGAAACCTTTCTGTTTTAGCTCTCTCCTCCTCTAAGAGATAGTTCCTCCCGCCTCTGTTACCCCAGAACCTTGAACGTGTCTTTCCTTGCACTTCTGGTAATCACATAATGGGATGATGTCCCTCCACGGGACACTCCCTGAGTGGTAGGGCTATTTCTGAGCCGTCTCTCATCTCCGGGCCAAGCCCAAGTGCACACTCAGCGACTGTCTATAGCCCGAGTGGGGGTGCACCTGTGGTGGAGCTTCAGGTACAAACCCATGTCCCTCAGGCATCCACCAGTTTCTGTTGACTCATCGATATTCACATCCTGCCTCTCGGTGACCCCCCTTTCTCAGTGGCACCCTTCCCCTGGATTTGAAAAAATCAGATTTGCTTTGGGCAAGTCGCTGCAACTCTCTGAGCAGGAATGGTGGCCTCCTAGGCCTGTGGCAGGAAGAGACGGATGCAGACCCTGCCAGCTGGGCCTGCTCAGCAGAAAGACCTCCATCCGAGGTCCAGCCACAGCCTCATTTCCCCCAGGCCTGGAGGTGCGGAGCTTACGTTTGAGGGAGGCCAGCAGGAGCGGCTGCTTATTTACGATGCCCGGTGGGCGTCCCGAAGGCCCCGGTCACATCCACATTCCTACGGGTGAAATGAGGCGACTCCTTGGGAAAGGTGGGTGAGGATGAGGGGGTGGCCAGAGCCCTGTTGGGTTCTGGGTCAAACCTCAGCTCTAACCATTGCCAGCTGTGCTGCTCATCTTTCAGAGCCTCAGTTTCCTCGTCTGTAAGATGGGCACATTACTATTTGCCTTGTGGCTTATGAGGTTAAAAGCACCCACCGCATAGTGGTGTTCACTTAGTCTCCTCCACTGAAACACACACGTCTTTCAACAGGAGTGGGTGGTGGGGGGAGAACCCTTCGCGTGATACCATGCAGGGGTGGGGGATTGGGCAAGGGGCAAAGGGACTTGGAGTTGTGAGGCTAAGCACATGGATTGTGGCTGGTTGGAATTTAGGCTCCGCCACATCATAGCTGTGTGATCTTAGGGAAGTCATTTAACCTCTCTGAGCCTCAGTTTCCCTATCTGTAGAATGGGGAGAGCATCATCCTCAGGGCCAACTGGTGGTGCTTGCCCAGCCACCGGGTGTTGCCTTGGTGCCCCTTCCACTCAGCCAGGCCTCTCTGGAGTCACCGTGATTCACAGCTGGTTCACCTCCAGAGTCTTCCAGCAGACCCTGTGGGGGCTGGGTCTAGAGCCCCAGGCCCCCGCCAGCTCAGAGAAGGCAAACAGGGTGCAGAGGTGAGTAGGTACCACCTGGAGGGCTGTGAGGGCCTGTGTCCCCTCCCCAGGGAGGGCCAGGGTCCCCATTCTGGTGGCCAAATGTGTCCTTAGCAGCCCAATGCCCACCCTTTCCCACCCCTGCCCGACACACACACACTTCTGCACCTCCTGGAGATGAACATAACTCAACTCTTGTCTGGGGTTCTGGCTTCTGTGTTAGGACTTACCCAAGTTACCAGCAAGTCCCTAAGGCAAGACTGAACCAGGTGCCATAATTCTTGCTATCTCTTTGGACACACAGGCTGCCTCCTCCACCATAGGGACCTGGGTGACACGCCCCAGCCAGGCACCATCCCTCCTCCACAGCCACCCTTGAAAGCTCTCAATCTTCCCACAGGTTCCTAAGCACCCAAGTGGGGTCAGCCATCATCTCCTCTGAAGTGTGGGACGAAACTGGAGAGGTCAGCATGGCCGTGAACTTTCATCTGCAACACCAGGCCCAGGTACTGGGTGGCGCTTCTGGGAAGCCGGCATCCTGGTGCACTTATCCTGGCTCAGTTCCCCCAACCCCCAATATTTATTCCTTGGACAACCAAGGACTAATAATGCACGCAGAATATACCTGCGAGGTACCTCCATTGCCCTCGAGGGAATGGAGAGGGAAGCTACTGGCTGCAGGGTCACCTTCTGGCAGGGGCCACGGATACACAGCATCCATTTAATCCTCCAGCTGCAAAGAGGTCAAGACCAGCCTGGCCAGCATAGTGAAACCCCGTCTCTATTAAAAATACAAAAATTAGCTGGGCATGGTGGCATGCGCCTGTGGTCCCAGCTACTCAGGAGGCTGCGGCAGAAGAATCGCTTGAACAGAGGAGGTGGAGGTTGCAGTGAGCCGAGATTGCGCCACTGCACTCCAGCCTGGCAACAGAGCAAGACTCCATCTCAAAAAAAATAAATAAATAAAATAAAATAACACTATGTCCATCACTAGGCGACTACTTTAAAAGTTTTGTAGGTCTGGGCGCAGTAGCTCACGCCTGTAATTCCAGCACTTTGGGAGGCTGAGGCAGGTGGATAATGAGGTCAGGAGTTCAAAACCAGCCTGGCCGACATGGTGAAACCCCATGTCTACTGAAAATACAGAAAAGTTAGCCAGGCATGGTGGTGCACACCTGTTGTCCCAGCTACTCAGGAGGCTGAGGCAGGAGAATCGCTTGAACCCGGGAGGCGGAGGTTGCAGTGAGCCAAAATCACACCACTGTACTCCAGTCTGGGCGACAGAACGAGACTCCATCTCAAAAATCTCTCCATATCTGGCCGGGTGCGGTGGCTCACGCCTGTAATCCCAGCACTTTGGGAGGCCGAGGCGGGTGGATCACAAGGTCAAGAGATCGAGACCATCCTGGTCAACATGGTGAAACCTCGTCTCTACTAAAAATACAAAAATTCAGCTGGGCATGGTGGCATGTGCCTGTAATCCCAGCTACTCAGGAGGCTGAGGCAGGAGAATTGCCTGAACCCAGGAGGCGGAGGTTGCGGTGAGCCGAGATTGCGCCATTGCACTCCAGCCTGGGTAACAAGAGCGAAACTCCGTCTCAAAAAAAAAAAAAAAAAAATCTCTCCATATCAGTAGCCAGCGGCCTGTGTGTTCACCCTACCAGATACAGTGTCACAAGGAGGAGAGAGGGGCAGTTGCTTAACCGCTCCTCGGTGATGTGACGGCTGCTCAGCTCCTTCCCAGTTTTCCACCTTGCTTACCATGCTGGAATGAGAGTCTGCACTCCTCTCCTTCCTCTGCCTCCACTCTGCCCTTTCACCCACGATGCATGGTGGGCAACTCCCCTGTCCCTCAAACCCAGAGTCTCCGGTATCCCTGCCTCCTCCTGATCTCTCTCCTTGCCCGTCCACACTCACACCTGCCCCGTGTCCCCCAAGCTATGCTCATGCACCGGTCCTGTCCCTGTCTCCTGCCCCCCAGGCCTTCCATCAGAAGCTGGTGGAGCCTGTCTGTGCTTTCTGGAACTTCAGTATCAGGTGAGTTTCCATTTGCAGGCTCTTTAACCAGGCTGGAGTGCAGTAGCACAATATCAGCACACTACAACCTCCGCCTCCTGGGTTCAAGTGACTCTCCTGCCTCAACCTTCCGAGTAGCTGGGATTACAGGCAGGCACCACCACCCCCGACTATTTTTGTGTTTTTAATAGAGACCAGGTTTTGCCATGATGGCCAGGCTGGTCTCAAACTCCTGACCTCATGTGATCCACCCGCCTCAGCATCCCAAAGTGCTGGGACTACAGGTGTGAGCCACAGAGCCCAGCCTTTAAGACAATTTTTTAAAAAGACATCGACTCTGCCTGGGGATGAGGTGGGACGCATGGTTTTGGTTTTGGCCTTCATTCACCATCTGCCTTTCGGGGGTGACTCCAGGCTCCTCCCTGCTCCAGGACAAGCTGGGGCAGGGGGATGTATTACCCGGGGGGTAGTGAGCTCCCTGTCACAGGAGATATGTGAAGGAGGAGGCGCTCACTCTGTGAGGTGCCTTGGAAGAGACTGATCTTGTCAAATGGGTATTGAACTTGATCTATCTGAGGCCAGGGCCCCAGGGCTCTTGACGGAGCAGAGCAGAGCAGGCTCCAGGGATTAGCCTGGCTCCCGGCCTTAGACCTTTAGCTGAGATAGGGAACCTTGGTCCCAGGGGCTCAGTAATTAATGAAGTTGATAAATGGCAATCACTGGTATCAGCCCTACCCTCCTGCCATCCTAAGAATGTCAAGTACATTTTACAGGTGAAAAACTGGGGCCCAGGAAGGGGCGGTGACTCGCCAAGGTCACGTAGCTGCTTAGAGGCAGGGCAGTGACTGGCCTCTGCTCGCCCCTGGCCCCTCACCCCCTTGTCCACCTTATCTCAAGAGCCCTTTGTTCCCTCCCCATCCCCCAAGCCCATATACAGAGGGTGCCTGGGCCACCACAGGCTGCTCCGTGGCTGCTCTGTACCGGGACTCCACCGCCTGCTTCTGCAACCATAGCACCAGCTTTGCCATCCTGCTGCAGGTCTATGACGTACAGGTGAGTGCAGGTGGGAGGGGGCGTCGGGAGGGGGTTCTCAGCCGGAGGTGAAGAAAAGAGCCAACAGGTAGTAAGAAGAGGCCTTTGGCTGGACACAGTGGTTCATGCCTATAATCCCAGCACGTTGGGAGGCTGAGGTGGGTAGATCACAAGGTCAGGAGCTCAAGACCAGCCTGGCCAAGATGATGAAACCCCGTCTCTACTAAAAATATAAAAATTAGCTAGGCATGGTGGTGGGCGCCTATAATCCCAGCTACTCTGGACACTGAGGCACGGAATTGCTTGGGCCCAGGAGGCGGAGGTTGCAGTGAGCCGAGATCATGCCACTGCACTCCAGTCTGGGCAACACAGTGAGACTCCATCTCAAAAAAAAAAAGCCTCTGACGGATGCCAGCTTTCATAGATCGTTGGGGACAGGGCTGGGCACAGTGGCTCATGCCTGTCATCCCAGCACTTTGGGAAGCCTTGAGCCCAGGAGTTCAAGACCAGCCTGGGCAACATGGAAACCCCATCCCTCCCTGTGGCCATGTCTGTCAGCGCTCTGAGTAGCTGTCCGATCAGTGGAATACGGGTGAATTGGGATCAGTCTAGGGAGAGCCAGCAGGAGAGAAGGACGTGCTCATGCCTGCTTATTAAACGCCTACTGTGTGCAGGCCTGGGCCCTGCTTTGAGGCGAATGCAGCGTGGGGGGCCTTAGAGTCACCAGGCAGGGCGAAGTCTGGCCTGGCTCGGGTCTGGGTGGTGCCCGGAGGTTCTCTGTCCCTCCACACAGAGAGGCCCTGAGGAGGAGTCGCTGCTGAGGACCCTCTCGTTTGTGGGCTGTGGCGTGTCCTTCTGTGCTCTCACCACCACCTTCTTGCTCTTCCTGGTGGCCGGGTGAGGAGAACGCACCACTGTGACCTGGTGGCCTGGGCCCTCCCCGCCCCGCAACGGCCTCCATGTCTCCATCAGTCGGGTGTCCATCCTTGCCCCAGAGAGCCTCAGTCTGAGCCTCTCCTTAGGATGTGCTGAGCCCCGCAGAGCTGCCCATTCAGGGGACCAGGCGGGGCAGGCCCTACAGGGTGTGAGGATTGGCAGTGGTGTTCTTGTTAACTGACTCCTCTGCCCCTCCAGGGTCCCCAAGTCGGAGCGAACCACAGTGCACAAGAACCTCACCTTCTCCCTGGCCTCTGCAGAGGGCTTCCTCATGGCCAGCGAGTGGGCCAGGGGTAATGAGGTGGGCAGCCAGTGGGTGGGCTGAGAGCCAGGGAGGCCTGGGAAAGTGCCTGTGGGCTTTTATGGGGTGACCCCCCGCCCCCCAACATTTTCACGTGGCTTCATTTCCTGGGGGAGGAGAAGGACCCAGGGAAGAAAGGCCCTGAATGGTGGGCAGGGCCCAGGCTGCTGTCCAGAGGCCTTACCCACTGGAACCTCTTTGGGTTGGCAAGGTCAGGCTGGGTATGGGGCCCCAGGGCCAGCCTGCACCTGCAGCTGACCTTGGACCTCTGTGGGGACCCCCTGCCCTCCCACAGGTGGCGTGTGTGGCTGTCACCATTGCGATGCACTTCCTCTTCCTGGTGGCGTTCTCCTGGATGCTGGTGGAGGGGCTGCTGCTGTGGAGCAAGGTGGTGGCCGTGAGCATGCGCCCTGGCCCACGCATGTGGCTCTACCACGCTACCGGCTGGGGTGAGGCCTGCTCTGTGCCTGTGCTCTACCTTGAACCCCAGACCCTGCCATCTAACATGGCTCTCGCCCAGCACTCAGCACCCAGCACTCAGCATCCAGCACTTAGCATCACCCAGCACCCAGCACCACCCAGACCCATCTCTGACATGACCTCAATTCCTCAGTTCTATTAACTTTCAATTTACCCAACCCCATTCCTCATCATCCTCCTCCACCTCACTGCCTTCCTCCCCATCCCCAGTGCTGTCTCCACGAAGCTACAGCTTGCAGGGTGGGGCCTGGGTCCTGGAGAGGAAAGAGCAGGTGACCCGGCCCTGAGGCCCCTTCTCCCTCCCCTAGGCATGCCAGTGGGCATCGTGGCGGCCACTCTGGCCACACGGCCCCATGACTATGTGGCCCCCGGACACTGCTGGCTCAGTGTGCACACAGACGCCATCTGGGCCTTCGTGGGGCCTGTGCTCTTCGTGCTGACTGTGAGCCGGGGATCTGCAGGGGAGGGACGTGTTGGGGACGGGGAAGTTCCCTCGCCCACTGACCCCAGGTCTCCAGGCTAACACCTGCATCCTGGTCCGTGTGGTGATGGTCACCGTGTCCAGCGCCCGCCGCCGTGCCCGCATGTTGAGCCCACAGCCCTGCCTGCAGCGGCAGATCCGGACCCAGATATGGTGAGGGCTTGGAATGGGGGGACAAGAGGAAGCAAGGAGTGCTGGCGCCAGGCAAGAGGCTCACTGGGCGAGAGTGCGTGCAACTCTGTGTCCAGAGCGTGGCCATGTGGCCGTGCCTGAGTCTGTATTATGTGGGTGTACACAAGTCCCTGCCTCTGTTTCGCACACATGCGGGCTTGTCAACATGCACCCCTGCGTGTCACATGTGGGGATGGCCACTGATCCGTGTGAGGGGTGTGGACACCAGCCACTGTTCGGAGTGCATTCTCTGCAGAAGGTACTGATGGCCTGCAGGGAATAAAGTAGGGGACATGCTCAAATCAGGTTAGCCCCAGAAGTTCAGGTTCAGGGTGAGAGGCTCTGGGTCCCCGTGCCTGCCAAAGACCCCCATTGCCCTCTGGGGTCACGCTGGTGAGAGAGAGGGATCCACTGGCCTTCTTTCCCAGCGCTGCCTCCTTGCTGGCCTTCCCTTTCCCCTCCCATCCTCCACCAAGTACAGGGCAGCCCAAGCCGGGGGGTCCCCAAAAAGCCAGGGAACCCCAGGGCCCTTAGAGAGGAAGAAGGGAGTCTTTCTGACCCCATCCCTGCTGGTCCTACTGCTCAGGCCTCAGTCCCCACTCTGGACAGCTGCCACCCCATTCCTTCCAACCAAGTTGGGGGCTGGGACCCCATCTCCCAAGTGTCACTACCCTACTTCATGCCACCTCTGTCTTTGAGGAGGGGGCAACAAAGTCCAGTCAAAGGTCCTGGCTCCCCCAGGTCCTGCTGAGCCGTGGTCCTCCTAAACCCTGCTGAGCCGTGGTCCTCCTAAATCCTGCTGAGCCGTGGTCCTCCTAAATCCTGCTGAGCCGTGGTCCTCCTAAATCCTGCTGAGCCGTGGTTCTGGCCCTCAGCTCCTGCCCCTCTCTAGTCACTTACAGGTGCTGCTCTCCCTGGAACCCTGCAGGGAGCTCCCTAGGCCCCCCAACCCCCATCAGCCCTGTCTGCTCTCCTACAGGGCCACAATGAAGCCTGTGCTGGTCCTGCTGCCCATCCTGGGCCTGACCTGGCTGGTGGGCATCCTGGTGCACCTGAGCCCTGCCTGGGCCTATGCTGCCGTGGGCCTCAACTCCGTCCAGGTACCTCCACGCCCCAATCTTCTGGGACAAGGCCTTGATGCGCATGGAAGCTGAGAGAGGATGACTGGTGTGCCAGGGCCTGGGGAGGGGTGAGCTCTCCATCCTGGGAGGCATTCAACAGCAACTGGGACATTCTATCAAAGAAGGGGTTTTGAGGGTGGGAGTGGGAACAGGCAGCCTCCAATCAACCAGCTTTTAGGGCCCCTCTGCCAGCTGGGGAGGCTGAGGCCCAGAAAGAATGCGCTTGGACACTCAGAGTCCGGCAGAAATTCCAGCCTCCAGGCTGATGCCAGAGCCACTCAGTTCTTGCCAGGAGGCTGGGGAGGGGACACAGGGCATCAGTCACCTCCCCTTGGGGTCTGCGGCTGCTGGGATGGCAGTTTAGAAGAGGGTTTGGTGAGAAGGTGGGTGCTCGACCTGCGTTAGGAAGGGCCTGGGCTCCCCGGCTCCTCATGGCCTGTGTTCTGGAGCCACCGGGAGGGGGCCACTAAGACCCTCTCAGCAGACTGGCATGTCTGTGGGGGACCAGAACATTAACTGAAGTGACAGCTGGGGGGCTGGGTGCTGGGAGTCAGGGAGACCCACTGAGGCCCTTCCCGGCCCCTCCCTTTCCCTCGACCTCCCTGGACCATCCCCCCCAGGCACATTCCCATCGCCTGCACCCACTACCCCCTGCTTTCCCAGTGCAGGTCCTTCTCAGGGCCAAAAGGTAGGTGTGTGAGGGCCCAGGCTGGACCACACAGGCTCAGGAAGTCAGGTGCAACCCCCCCGGGTCGGTGTGCCCTCGAGCTGGGAACTCTCCCTCTTTTCCTTGGAGAAGGGGGCCGAGGTGGTAACAGAGGCTCATGGTGCCTGGGTGCTCCCTAGACCCTGGCCAGGCTCCTGTTTTTATCTCCCAACAAGCCTTGTAAGTGGGGAAACTGAGACCTCATGAGGTCCCTTGCCCAAGGCCCCCCAGGAGGCAACAGTCATGCCGGGGCACCACTCCAGAGCCCGCATTTTCAGCCTCAGGGCATCCAGCTATGGCAGCAGATGGGTCCAGGCTGGTCCCTGGGAGGGTGCTGGGACCCAGTTGCTCATTCATCTGTGTGCCCTTCATGGCTTGCCCGTGTGTACCAGGCACTGTGCCTGGTGCCGGGGCCACAGCAGCAAATGAGGAGCAAGAAGCCCCTGTATTCGTGGAGCTGCCTTAGAAGAGCAGGCAGACCATGGCCACGATGAAGAAATGAAGTGTTAGGTGAGGGGACAAAGCAGGGGAGCCCTTCTTCCAAGCCCCGCTCCCTGCAGCGCTTCATGGCTGGGCTCAGGCTTGCTGGGCTTCTCTACCTGTCACACGGTGGGGCGGGTGCGGCACCTTGTTGCCATGGTGATTCCTCCAGCTCTTTGCCAGGTGCCCCCTCTCCATGACATGGGGGGTTCCCTGATGCTCTCCATCCTCACCTGTGCCCCTCAGGTGGGCAGACACAGCCATGGGGCAATGCCACCGTCACGCTGGCTCGGCTCCCTCCTTTCCCTTCTCTTTCTTTCCTCTCTCTCTCTCTGTCCCATCTGGTCTCTGAATCTTCTCTGGTTCTCTCAGGCTCTCCCTGTGTCACTGTCCCCCTCTCCCTGTGCCCTCCGGCCGTGGATGTTTGTCCTGGCACTGACCCCAGCTGGCTCTTCCTGGGCCTTTGTGTCTCTCCACTCCTCTCCTCTGTCTGTCACCTCTTTTTTTTGTGAGATGGAGTCTCATTCTGTTGCCCAGGCTGGAATGCAGTGGTGCGACCTCTGCTCACTGTAACCTCTGCCTCCCAGGTTCAAGCAATTCTCCTGCCTCAGCCTCCTGAGTAGCTGGGATTACAGGTGCCTGCTACCACACCTGGATAACTTTTGTATTTTTAGTAGAGACGGGGGTCTTACCATGTTGCCCAGGCCAGTCTCAAACTCCTGACCTCAAGTGATCCACCCGCCTCGGCCTCCCAAAGTGCTGGGATTATAGGCGTGAGCCACCGCGCCTGGCTGGCTGACACCGGCCTTTTTATCTCTGCCTCTCCATCTCCCTGCACGTGACCCTCTCTTGCACCTGCTAAGGCAGCCTCAGATCGCCTTTGGGACACTCTCCTGGTGAGTGAAGGCCAGGAGAGGCTGCCTTAGGCAGGAGCTCAAAAGGCAGGAGTGGGGTCTGGGCTCCGCTGCTGACAGTCGCCTGACCCTCTTGGGCTCAGGGCCCTGTTCTCTCTGTCCCTCTCCCCAGGCCCGGCCTGTCCCTTCACCTCCCCTTTCATCACACCAAGGGCCTCTCTGTCCTCCCCCCGCACTCCACCTCCATCCCTGGCCCTCTCTCACTCTCTGTCTGTCTTGGGCATAAGCCGGATACATCCCACTCTTAGGGGGTGACCAAGTGACCAGGGAGGAGGCCTGGGACTCGGGGACGAGACTGTCCAACCTCATTCACTCTCCAGAAGTAATTTGTGTCCTTCTGGCCCGTGCTGGGTTTTGTCGAGGGAGAGCAAAGCCTCACTTCTATAACCAGCTGTGGCTCACACTTACCCTGGTGGACCGAGCCTTGTCGTGAGGTTTGGACAAGTGGCACCAGGCCTCAGTTTCTACGTCTCCATGAAGGGGATTAGATTCCCACCTGCCTCGTGGGTTCGTCGTGGGGTTCAGCTGACATAACATTTGCCAAGGCTACACACAATCCCTGGCACGTGCTAGGAGCCCACAAGGGTGAGCTCATTTGTTCAGTTGTTCAACACGCACTTCCCCAGCACCTTCCTAGCCAGGGCTGGCCTGCATGCTGGGGGACATGGAGGTGCCCAGGATCAAAGAATTCTGTGACGTTCTCGGCCTGAGGGAGAGACAGACATCAAAACCACAGTGTGTCATGGCTGAGGCCGAGAGACAAGGGACTCTCAAGGCAGTGTGGGGACAGAGGAGCAGCTCCTCAGAGGCCGCATGGGCCTCCTGGAGGGGGTCACTCTCAGCTAAGACCTGACGGCTGCATGAAAGGGGGAAAGAATGTTTTAAGCTGGGGTGGAGGGGTCATGGTGGGGTCCAATGGTGGAGAGATACGAGGGGTAAGGTTGGTAAGAAATGGGCCAGAAGGGAGCGGGGGGGCAGACAATGTGGGGTCCACAAAGCTGCTGCAAAGAGCTCAGACAGCGGGTGCAGTGGCTCACGCCAGTAATCCCAGCACTTTGGGAGGCCAAGGCAGGCAGTTCACCTGAGGTTGGGAGTTCGAGACCAGCCTGACAAACAGGGAGAAACCCTATCTCTACTAAAAATACAAAATCAGCCAGGCATGGTGGCGAATGCCTGTAATCCTAGCTATCCAGCCTGGGCAACAAGAGTGAAAATTCTGTCTAAAACACACACACACACACACACACACACACACACACACACACAGAGCTCAGATTTTGTCCCAGGGGTAGTTGGGAGCCATGCAGGGCATCCAGCAGGTGCTGGTGTCCTGGGGTAGGCATTTAGAAAGATGCCTTTGGATGGTGAGAAGGCAGAAGGAAATGGGATGAAGACGGCAGTGCAGAGGCTGCAGAGAAAGAACAGGCTGGGTGTGGGGACCTGGGAGGCTTCGGGGTCTGTCTTGGAGAGTGGGGTGGTGGTATCATCTTAATTGGTGCCTGGGCAGCAGGAGGACCAGCCAGGCTCTTGGGCCCCAGCTTTCAGCCCTGGGAGGCTGGAAGGCCCCAAGGAATCCCAGGCCCTCACCTGTGTTTCCCACCCCCGTTCCCCCCTCCCCCGGGCTGCAGCACAGGAGCAACTGCCTGTGACATTGCCCAGGGGGGATCCCAGGACGGATGGCCTCAGAGCTGGGCCACCTGCTGGGCCATACTGGAGCTTGGGACCCATTCCTCTGTCCAACACCCCCAGCTCCTGGTCTCTCCATCAAATGGGGAGAATGAATCCACCCCTGCCACTGAGCTGCTATGAGGGTCAAGTGAGAGCCCAAATGTGATGGTGCGGGTGGGTGGTGAGGCCTTCTTGGTACCCCAGTTGTGGCGGTGGGGGGGGAGCTGACTCCGCCCCAGCCACTGTGTGAGTCCCTCACATGCATCCCCTCAGGAGGCAAGTCCCGGCCTCATCTTCACTTTCCAGAAGAGGCAGAGGCTCAGGGAGGTGAGGGCCACTCAGCTAGAGGCGCAGTGAGAAGGCACTCACAGGGCTGTTGTCCCCTGACCTGACTGGGCCTTAGAGCTTAGGTCCCACTCCCTACCCCTTGGTGGGGCACAGAGGACTGGCATCAGAGATGCTCCCTGGTGGACAGAGGCTGAAGGCCGGCGTTGTATGGGGCAAAGTCCCTCCTGGTCCCGTCCTGCTGAATGCCACAGCTGCCCCTCCGCAGGTGGGTGCCAGAGCAGGGCTGACTTCATGCCCATCAGCCAGTCTTGGGCATCTCTGCAAGTGTCTCTGCCCCGGGGGGAGGGGCAGAACCCCAGGCAAGGCCAGGCTGTGGGGGATGGGACGGGGTCGGGTTCCCGGCTGAGGCTTCACCCACTCCCTGGGTCTGTCCTCAGGGGCCGTACATCTTCCTGGTCTATGGTGCCTGCAATGAGGAGGTGAGTCTGGGGGTGCTGGCTGCAGGGAGTGGGGTCCAAGGGGTGGGGAGGGTCCCCGGGCCTGACCTCCAAGTGTTTCCCCAGGTGCAGAGCGCCCTGCAGAGGATGGCTGAGAAGGAGGTGGCTGCGCTGCTCAGGGCAATGGGGGTGTGGGTGAGGGTGGGGGGTCCCCCGGGCCAGGTCTCAGCCCCCACACCCTCTCCTTTCAGTCCTGTGCCAGCCCTGCCAGCAGGGGAACCAGCCTGAGGCCCCCAGGTCCCTGGGAGGCAGACCGAGGCAGCCCCGGGGCCTTGGCTCCACCCCGGAGACACATAGCTCTCAGAGGTACTCTTAGCACCCATTGGGAGCGCCGCCCAGTGCCTCAGTTTCCCCAGCACTCAGGTAGAGCTGGGAGGACAAGGTCCTATTGGCCCATCTGAAAAAAGGAAACCAGGGCCCTGGGACTTGAGGAATGTCCTGTCACTCGCTCCCCACTGCTAGGAAACCCAGGCTCCTGGGGCCTGGCCCAGGCATGGGGCTTGTCCAGGTCACCTTCCCTGGGGCTCCATGCAGACGGGTTTGGGGAACTCCTGGAGGTGGTGAGTAAATGGGGTCAGACCCTGAGTGGGGCATGGGTTGAATGACCTCAAGGCCAGGCCAGGGGTCCCCATCCTAGCTCCCAGTACCCCCTGTATGCCCTGGCCTTGTTCCCCTCCCTCTCCGGGCCTCATTACTAATCTGTGGGGTGAACCTTGCAGTGGATTCACAGCGAATTTGATCCTGAAGGTCCCACTCCCGGGATGAAAGCGCAGAGAGAGGGCTTCCTGCTTTCGTGTCTCTCCAAAGTGTGTGTTTTCCCCATTAGGGACCTATGGCCCTGGAAACCCCTCAGCCTTCTCCTCCATCGCAAACCCCGAGAGACAGGTGAGGCTGCAATAGGGTGGGCCCCACAGGGCTCTGCTAGGGGGTGGCAAGGCCAGCAGGCAGGATCAGGAAGCCACAGGGCTGGGGGTAGGGCTGGGGTGGGGGCTTCCCCGGGATCTGTTTCTCTGTTCCTGGGTTGAAGGGTCCAGGGAGGGGAGCTGCTGGCCGCAAGCTGGCAGAGGCCCCTATAGCCAAGGGCCCCCAGGGCAAGGGGCAGCAGAAGGAGTGGGGGCCACCCCTGTGACAGCCCCTCTGTCCTCAGGCTGTGGAACTGACAGCGTTCAAAGCTTCAGGTACAGTCCCCACCTCAGGGGGTCCCCTCTTTCCTTTTTGGGACTGTACCAGGATGGAAGTGATTTGAAATCAATCATGCCCAACCCCCGACAATTGCAGAGGCCCTCTCTTCACTTGGCAGGTCCTCTGGGAGCACTGGGGGCCTGGTGGGGAACAGGCAGTGCCCCTTCGGAGGGGTTCATTAGAGAATAGGTCGTGGAACCCTATTGAGAGCGGGTGCTGCCAAGGTACACAGCCTGCCTTCCTCTGTCCTCCCCCCATCTCTGCCCCACAAACCCAGTACACCCCCTCGCCCTCTGAGGGCCTCGTCCTGATGCTGTGGGATTCAGAGCCTTCCAAACTCACTGAGGGACAGCGCTTTCCTCCAAAGCTGTGGGTCCCCACCTAGACAGCTGATAGGGGAATGGCAGGTGCTGGGGGACTGTGGGAGGCTGAGGACACCCCAGGTGCAACTCAGGGAGAGGACTGAAGCCTGAGGAGCTCAGCTGGGCCCAGGGGAGCCATGGGACCCTGCCCGCTGGCCGCCTCCCTCCATCTGAAACCCACACGCCCCAGCCTCAGCCAGGTGACTGTTTCCAGCAAAGGCAAGAGCCGTCTCCGCCAGGCTCCCCCCAGGGCCAGGCTCAGGCCTCAGCCCAGGCACTTGCTGATTCTGATCCAGTGACAGGAAAGTGGAGGTGCCTTTCTCCACCTATTGCGCAGATGTGGAAGCTGAGGCACAGAAAGGGGCAGCCGCTAGCCAGAGCCCGCACAGAGCCAGGGCCAGTCCCCCACTGGTGCAGATGGGAGACCCTAGGAACAGCAGTAGTCACGTGGGTGTAAGCTAAGGCCACATGAACCTGGGTCCGTGGGATCCCAGGCCCCGGCCAGGCCCCACCCCCGGCTGGCGTCTCGGTCCGGGGAGTCTCAGCTTCCCCTTCTGCAGAATGGGCTGGAGGCTCCCCCAACAGGCCCGCGCAGGCGCTCCCCGGGGCCAGAGCGCCCCTCCCCCACCCTCCCCGCCCCCACCCGCGGGCGTCGCGGCTGCAGGAACAAGAGAGCGGCGGCGGCGCCTCTGCGCTCAAGTGACGGCGCCTTTGTCTCCGCTGAATGGGTGCGTTGCTAGGGCCGCTCGTAGCAACGGAGCCGCTTCCACCTGGGCCCCACCCTCCGGACCCCCCACCCGGCCGGGCTCTCCGGACGCCCCTGCTTCCAGTCCCCACCCCACTCCGCAGCCCACTCAGCGGGGACTGGAGGCGCGGGGCAGCGGGAGCTGCCGGGCTGTGTCCCTCGCGGGTCGCCACCGCCCCTCCTAAAAGGCCTCGGAGCCCTCGGGGCATGCGAGGATGGAGAAACTGAGACGCACAGAGGGGACTGGCCGTGGTCTCCCCCACCCTCAGTTCCCAGAGCCCTTCCATCCCCGGCTTCTCCACCAGGACCCTCTGCCAGCCCAGCCCAAGGGCGCACTTTCCCACTAGGTTTTTAAAGCGTGCCTGGGAAACTCGCAGCCAAGCCCTGCCCAGCTCAGCTCTGCCCGGACCCCAGACCCCAGGATGGCGCAGCGGGAGTCCTCCAGAGCCAACAGCGGCCCCTGCTCCCCGGCCTCAGCCCCTCGATTTCCCTAGAGGAGTGTGAGCCCCAGCCCCGAGCTCCCCTAACCCACTGAGTCCCCAGGCTCTTTCCCCCAGGCTCTGCCTGTGATCTGCTCCTTTCCACCTGCTCCCGAAGTTCCAATGGGCCCTGCTGTGTCTGGTAATAAATAGGACCGTTGGGCTCTCCTGTCCTCTGCAAGTCCTGGCCTGGACAGAGGGAGAGGACGCAAGGCTCTCTGGGAGGAGGGAGGAAGCCAGAGAAGCTGCGCTTGGCTTTGGGACTCCAGGGCCTCAGCCTCATCATCAGGGTAGGTGCAGCCAGCATTTATGAGCGCCTGCTGTATCCCTGGAGGGAGGGCTGAGCCCTTTACCACCTTAGAGCCCTGAGCCGCCATCACTCCTGCTGTACAGAGGACACAGGCTCAGACCAGTCAGGCCTGGGGTCTCCTGGGCCCTGTAGCACAGGGGACAGGGGTGGCAGTCGGGGTGAGTGGGGACCCCAGCTCGAAGACAGCTCATAGGTCAGCTGCGAGTCTGGACACCTCTAAGTCACGCCGTGGGACCAGGACCTTCCACCACCCATTATGTGGCTGTGGGCAAGGTCATTCTGAATCTTGGTCTCTTCTTGGTAGAATGGGCTTCAGGGCAGGGAGGGGAGCAGGGATGGCATGAGGGCTCTGCACCAGGCCTAGTGCCAGGGTGGACCCCAAGGCCAGTGGCAGGGAAGTGAGGGCCCAGGCGCTGGGACTGGGAGCGCCCAGGCAGCCAACACTGTCCTGCTGACACCAGCCTGGCTCACATCCTGCTGGGGCCAGGGGAGGTGGGGCAGGGCTGGCTGAGAAGCAGCCAAGACACAGAGAGGCACCCAGAGCTCCCAGGAGCCTCCAGCTTCCATGCTGGACCCCGCCTGGGTTGAGTCTGGGACAAAATCTGACCAGAGTGTTGGCCCCATCCACACAGGTACGGGGTCCCAGGCACTTCTTGCTGGGGATGGCTGTGTGGCCTCTCGATGCTCCATCTGTCTTCTGTAGAATGGGGGACATCAAGTCCACCCAACGGCCATTCGAGGGATCTGCACAGTCCTGCGCTTGGTTCCTGGCGCAGCCCTCAGCAGGCACTCAGGGAGCATCAGCTGTGGCCTGAGACAGATGTCCAGGGCTGTAGGAGCCAGAGCCTGTGGCCCAGAGGAGGTTCAAGGCCTTGAAGGTGCCAGGCTGGGGGGGGAAAAGCAGTCCAGAGAGAAGACAGCATAGCTCCACAGGGCCAGCAGACCCCTGCCCTGTGCTGGGAACACTGGGCCAAGTATGGCACTCTATCCCTAGCAGGGACAGGAGGGGAGGGGCTCTGAAGGGGCAGCAAGGAGGCAGGGAACTTGGTGGCCCCCCGACTGCCTGCATCTCAGCATCCTCACCTTCAGCGGGCTCCTGTCTCCCCTAAAACCAATCATATGGGCTGTGGGGGAGGGGACAAAGGTGGGACCAAGGGATCCTTTCCCACCCCCCCACCCCCCACCCTGTTCCATGTCCCTCCTGCCCCCTACACACGCCCTGCTTACTCTCCAGCCAGAGTAACTTCTCTTAGGTCCCAAAACACAGCCGCTGACACCCCTCCATCCTTCTGCTCACACTGTTCCCTCTGCCTGGACTGCCCCTAGCTCCTATCTTGCTGGTGAACTCCTGGGCATCCTTCAAAACCCAATTTGGAGGACACCTCTGCTACAAAGTCTTCCTGTTCTCCAGACCCCTCATCTTTCCCAGAAGCAGGGTCAATCACTTTCTGATCTTGTCTGTCTCAGTTATATTAAGTATCATATCAGACTACAGTCTGGCTAAAACAGTCTCCGCCTACAAGGCTGGACATTGCCCAGGGCAGAAGCTAGGGCATCTGCAGGTGCCAGGAAGAAGAGGGGCACCTTTTTCTTTGCATAAAAGCCACTGTCAAGCTGTGTGCCTGTGGCTATATTGCCCTAGAGGGGACACATTTTCAACTGCATGAAGGCCAGGGGTGGCCCTGGAGATGAACTAGTCAAGCTGGTCAAAGTGGATCAGGATCGATGGAGCTTTGCACGGTGCCCCTCTCAGCTGTGTGACCTTGAGCAAGTTGTTGTGGCCCTCTGTGCCTCAGTTTCCTGTCTGTAACCTGGGGATGCCACCTATGGAAGTGGCTGCAAAGAGCGGTAGGTGCGACAGATGGGGCAGGAAACGCTGGGCAGGGGTCCTGGAGCGGAGGAAGCCTTGGATGGCGGCGGTGCTCACTACCGCCACCACGTGGGGCCGGGGTGGATTCTGTGAGGCATGTGGCAGGGCAGACAGGAAAGCGCCAGGGCTCTGAGGGTTCTGGTCTCCCAGGTCTGTGGCTCATGGGCCCTTGGCAAGTGCCTTCCCCTCCTGCACTACAACCCCTGCCACACAGGGCTGCTTCCAGGACAGTAGGATGAGGGGGGCACACAGTAGATGCCCCTTAAATGGCTGCTCCTTCTGCCCCACAATAGGGGGCTGAGCTGGCAAGGCCAGGGCACAACAGGCAGAGAGGCAACAGCATCCCCGGGCCTCCCAGTGCCCCAGGGTCGCAGGGATGAGGTGGGGCCCAAACCCCAACAGTGCCTGGTGTCCCCCCACCCAGCCCCAAAACCCACCTGCCTCCCCAGTTTTGAGCCAGAGGGTCTGCATGCCACCTCCCTCCAGGTCAGAGCACTGCCCCACCCCCAGACCACCCAGAACCCACCGGGGCCGTTCTACTTTGGACCCAGAATGTAAACAGGCAAAGGTAGCTGGAAACTAATTGCAAAATTTATTCCAGGACTGCGGGAGCTGGGGAGATTCTTAAGGGCACTTCTCGTTTCGGGGCTGTGGGTCTCTGGCCTTGGCAGGGGCTCACATTTCAAGGGGCAGAGATGGGGACTAAGACAGGGAGGCAGAAGGCAGGGGTGCCCAGTCTCCTCCAGCTGGGCAGGCTCAGCGCAAGCTGCAACAGTAACAGGAAAGCAGGGTGGACAGCAGGCACCCAGCCCGGGGATGGGAGACAGCTGAGGCCTCTCCCTAGTGCCTCGCCCTGGAGAGTTTCTTTCATAACCTAGGGCAGGAGACCAGGGAGCTGAGGCCCAGCTTCACGAGTTTGCAGCAAGGGACCCAAAAGTTTGGGGCCACAGGGAGGAGCTCAATAGCGCTGTCCCTGATCTACAGCCCCGTGCGCCTCCCAAGTTCACCTTCATTCCCACCCACAGAGACTTGAAGCCCCCAACAGGGCGTCCTGCTGTTCAGCGAGTGGGTGAAGGGCGGGCAACAGGTCTTCTCTGGGTTGGGGTTGGGGCTCAGAAGCAGTGACCCAGCACCACCCCAAGGGTACTTGGTAGGCGAGTGTCCAGGGAGAAACAGCTGTCCTTAGTGTCAGTCCCCAAGCCTCAGCTTCAGCCCTCAGATCTGTCCCCTTCCCTCCACCACAGCTTTCAAGGGGTATCTAGAAGCTTAAAAACAAAAAGTGGGGGGACCTCTTGACTACAACCTTGCAGATAAATATCAGCCTGGGAGGGCCACCTCTGGGTAGGACTAGGATGTCGACTGTACCAAACGTTCTCCTTGGGCAGGAGAGGGAATCAGTGATGACCGGAGCAAAGTTCTTTCCCGATGATGTATCAAAGCTCCCTCTTGCAGAGTCAGGTGAAGTAGAAGGGCTAGCGAGGGGGACTCTGTCCTAACGAGTCTCCTGCTGTCCTCTAGGGCCCAGTGGCCCCTCCCAGTTTAGCAAACTCAGTTATCCTTAATTTACAGAGGACCTCCTCCTGTTCTCTGCGGGGGAACGCCGGAGACCCTCTCTCCTCCCCCAGTTGATACCTGCTCAACTTCTCCCTGTCTGTTTCGAGGAGAGGAGGAAGGGATGACC